CTTCTAATGAAATTGATTTTTCTGAGTACTTTTGTTTTGCAAAATAATATATTACCTTCCCCAGTACAGAATTTCTAAATAAAAATGTTCTTTCAAATCCTGAATTTTCTAACACTTAAAAAATGGCTTAGAGATTATCAGAGCCTTCACAGGCTCATATGGCTAATTCTATTAGTGAGCGGGGACACCCACGCAGAAAGGAAGGAGAGTCCATTTCACACTGGACTGTCCTTCCAGCAGCAGGCTCACTGAGGAAGCCACCACGATCCCAGTGCCCTGGCTTCCACGAGGTTCACCTCCTACAAGGTATGAATCACCCAAAGCATGTATCATTGGATCTGGTTCCCTTTGCCACAAGGTTCAAACACCTATTGATTTTCATTGGCCTATTCGGGACTAAAATCCAGAGCTGTTGTTGCTCAATTAAAGATTTCCTCCCCCCCCCTCCCCTCTCAATACCATCTATCCCCCACCACACACCCCACTGAATCAGAGATGACACACTCAGCTCAAATAATGTCCTCTAACAACTCTGGCCGATTGCTCATCTACTTTTGAGGATTTCATTAGCAGACTTGGAAGAGTGATTCAGCAGTCAACAGCAAGTATTTATAAAGTTGAAAAGTATCAAATATGTATAAATAGTTCCTGTAGAACTCTGACTTTCATAGCTTTTGGGACTTTTAATAAATGTGCCCAAGTTGCTTTCCTTTTATGCACATTTCAACATTATTTATATGCCCCAGCTTAAAAATCAGAGCAACCTCCATAAAAAAAAAACAAACATTTACTCAAAACAATAGTGAAATATGGATATGCAATTACTTATAAATTTATTACTTATTTAATTTGGATATGCAATTACTTATAAATTTCCTCATGTCCTTTTAAAACTTTCTTCTTCTTTGATAGTATATTGTATTTTAGATCATTATGTATAAAAGGCATTAAACAAATACACTAATCTTCTCATCTTCTCTATATAAATGATAGTAACAGGATAACATAAAAAACAACTCTGAGACCATCCTTTACTGGTCATCTTACACTCAGGCATAATCACAAAAATAATTATTGCTTTTGAAAACACAATTTGGCAAATGTATTATATACCACCAAATCACCGTTTAGAACTCATGTTTACATGTTTAGTCATTTAACACTTTTATAAACTGCTATAAAACAGTTTTAAATTGATATGAATTTGGAAAATCGAAAAACCAGGCAGTATATAAATCTATTTTTATTTGTAGATTTCAATGGTTTTTAATACTTAACTAAATAATGTAAAAACATCAAAACACCAGTCATTTGAAAAGCATAAAGTGCAATTTTAAACCTATGCTATTACTTGAGTTATCAAGTAATTTTTTCTTTATTGCTTCTATTTTAACTTTAATACTTACATCTTAAAGGTCACAAAAATGTGTAATTCTAACATTACCTAGACCCACATGAAAAAAATTGCCTTTTTTAAAATGGGAAACTAAATATCCAACTCAAAGCCAAATCAAAAGTAACCTGGCAGTTTGAAAAAATTTTACCTTACTATATGGCATATCCATACATGGAACCTATATAATTAAATCCAAGCATTAACATCTAATTCAATAAATTCTTGATATAGGAGACTACCATGTGATTTTAACCTCTTAAAGTCTTTTCTGTTGCTACAAAATCAAAAATTGATGTAGCAAAAGCCTTTGTTGCAAGGCTTGAGGTTGGGTGGCTTTTTTTTTCTTTTTTGGTATTTAATTCAACTATACACAATGTAGTACATACAAGCAAAATACAATTGAGATACTGTTTCCTTTAACATTCCTATAGGAGACCAAATTCATTTGCATTGGAGAGAACACAATTACTGATTTTTAAGTCATGAAAGACAAATTCATAGCTTTTTCCTACACGACCTCGCAGTGTTCACACTATCTCAGTGAAGGCATGTCTAGCACCGCTTAGTTACTTCCTAGAAGTGGGCTGAAACTGCATTTTTCAGAGTTTTGTTTCTCACAGAATCATTCAACTTTAGTTACAAAGCACATTCGGGTCAGCAAACGTCTTAGCTGCAAACAATTTACGCAGTATGTGTGTGCACGTGTGTGTAGATGCAGATATCTACACACATACAAAACTATACTCTCATCAACATCAGAAATGAAATTCCTATCAAGGAAATTTCCGTGACTTTCAGCAGAACTTTAAAGACCTTACCAGTTTGTCCCTCGTTAAGAAATCTTTGTTTCATATATATAGTACCAAGAAATATGAATACAAAAGAAAGATCCAAAGATTTTTATTCAACAGACCCTGAAACCAACTTAGAAAGAGAAACAGATGGTGTGTACATGGCATACATTATAATGATTTGGATTTAATAAGCATGAAACAGATATGGCAAAAGAAAAAAAGTTTTGTTTCTGAGTGACCTGAGAAAACAATGGCATGTAGTCTGTCTACTACAACAACAGCACACAGAAAATGATGCTAGAAATGATCACTTAACAAAAGATCCAATTGGCAGGTAAATGTCATGCCAATAATTTCGTAACTTTAGATAAAAACATCTCCTCCCAAAGTACCACTGGCTTTTTAAAAACTCTATTCAGAATGCAGACATTAAAACTGATTCTGGAGAACACAAAGAAATCAGAACCATATAAAGAAAATGAGCACTCAGTTGAATGATTATTTAAGTAAGCAAGCAAGGAAGATAAATTGTTTTCTTCACATTTTCACTTCAACTAACACAGAAACCACATATAGAAATGACTTGACACTGACAAATTTACTCCTAACTTGTTAATTCTCATAGAAATGCAACAAACGAACACCCAAACAGTCACTATGTAACGTAAAAGCTTTGGTTCCAGATGCCACAGCAGCACCCTACTTTCTGAAAGCCACCACGGTGGCAGTGCCCTGCTCGTGAGGACACAAAGCTGCTTCATCCCAGGGGTCTGAGCTCAGCACACAGCACCAGGCATTAGCTATCTCTCCCTTCTTAGCCTGCAGTACAAGTAACTAATTTCTGCATTTTAAACTGGTAAAGGAAAGGGAAAAAAAGATTAAAACCATCCAATCAGAAATGATGTAACCCCCTACAGCAACAGCTTATGCATACATTTGGTATGTCAGACATCTTCCTCGTAGTGAATCATGCACAGCGCACTTTCATCTGCCTCCTAGGTATTTCATATCGCCCACGTGTTCACAGAAGTCATGTACTATTAGGGCTGTATAAGTCCTAGATTGCTCTTTATTTAATTAACACTAAAAACCTGGGACATGCTCTTAATTCTGATCTCTTCTAAAAGCATCACAAAATTATTTAAATGACACTCCAGCTAACAAATAACCTCTGCCTTTTGAATGAAAAAGTAGTATGTTTGTGTGAAGTTGTAAGAGATGTTAATAACTTTAGATAAACGAGTATTTCACTTATATTACAACATGAAATGAGACACCAACTCACAAAAGTTAAAATAGCAGTGAGTTTTACTAATTATAACCCCCTAAAAGGACTCAAAGCAGCTATATAACCAACAGAATTAGGCATTTATAGAAACATAGTCCATCAAATATTTTGGGGTTTTTTTCAAACTTTGTTAAATATATTCAAATTTTCAAGTGTTGTAAGGTTAATAATTTAAATTTAAAACCAATACTTTAGATATCAGAAAGCTACAACCTGAATTTCTCAAGCAAAAGAAAATACATAAAGTATGCAAATTTAGAATACTTAATTGAAAAACGAATCAGTTACAATTACATCTTTTCCTAGAGAGAACTAGCTTAATATTGCACATGAAACTGCAAATCATAACTTTTACCTTTTGAAAAAGATACTAAGTTTTCTGATATGCCACAGAACCATTTGCAAACAAAAGATATTCTGTTGCCTACTTCAGATAAAACGTATCCATAAATGTGCACACAATTTTTAAAAACCTTTTAACAAACCTTTAAGTATTTATTACATTTAGATAGTTTGTTTTAAAATCTATTCAAACCCTGGCAAAAAATCATGTAAGTGGTTAAACACTCTTGAGTATCAGAGATTTTAAAGGTGGTAAATCAAAGGCTTCACTTAGTCTCTCTTCAATTCAGCTACTTCATGACTAATGGTGAAGAAATGTAAGTGACTGGGATATAAACTAAGTTACAACACATAGGAGGAAAAAAATATCTAGAATGAGTAATAAAGGGCCCAAATTTAAAGTCCACAATAAACTTTAAAACAAAGATGTTCTCCTTCACTCTCTCCTCATGGACAGATATTTCTCATGTAAGCATATCACAGGAGAATTCCAACCTCCACAAACCTTTTCCACTCCTTCATTAACAACAGTGCACTTAAATATAACTACAGAGTTCACGGTGATATTTGTTTAGCCCCAAACACATCTGAAAAGCAACAGCAGCAACAACAAAAAACGCTCAGAAGCAACAATCAGCAGACCGAGCGACTACAAAACTCTGGCTTTTAGCTGCCATCCAATCCAAACAACCCTCTTTCTTTAGAGTGCTATGCAAAATATTGACCCCTTACTAAATTATTTTATTATTCAACATTAAGCTATCTTAAAAAAGAAAACTAATTAATCGCGGAGTTTAGTTAAGCAATTTAGCTGACACAGTAAATATTTACTCTCAACAGCTCACAGGAAGTCTTGACGAGCGTGCGTTGCCATTGTGCTGGGGCTAGGGGTGGGAGGCAGGTTTTGATAAACAAGTGAAACAGCCCCTGCGAATTTAACACAGCTAGCATTCGAGCCCCCGCCCCCCACCCCAATAAGGCACCAGATTATTTTCCAAGGCCAGTAAACACCTTATATAATGAAAGTAAAACATATATATTTAACTTTCTAAACTGTTATCTCCACTAACAAAACAAACAATTTTTACAAAACTACAAAAGCACATTTTTAAAAACTTGAGTGTATTATTTTACTTATATGTAAACCCAATCACAAAATAACTAAGCAAAATGTATTTACCTGAGCTTTTTAGAGACTGAGTAATCAACTTCCATGATTTTCCCATGCAATTCCACTTTACCTTTAAAACAGAAATTAAAGCACTCAGAACCTTCCTGGTGTGAAACCCGCGGGGGTCTAGCAGCGGCGGGCACTGAACTCCACGCTCCGGGCTCCGCCTTCGGGTGCCCTCAAGGGGTCTCCCACCAGGCTCCAGCTGGGCCAACTAGGTTCCCAGTGGGAAGAAACACAGGAGTCCCGAGTCTCGGGCGAAGTGGAAAAGAAAGGGTGTGAGCCCGGACCCGACCCCAGGTATAGCTGTGGGTGGCATTACCGGAAAAACAAATTTAATAAAGAGCGGCGCCAATTTGAAAGGATGAGCTCATTTGAAACTCCAGCTGCAGGGCTGGCGCGGCCCCGCTTCTTTCGGCCCCCCACCTCTCCATTCCGCTAACCCGGGTCCCGAAGCCTCTGCTGCGCTCCCCTCCCAGCCCTCTCCTCCCCGCGGCCCCTAGAAGACGCGCAGAAGCCCCCTGGGGTTCGCTGCAGAACCTAGTCCCCGCCGGCTTCTGGGTGTCACCTTGGCCTCGCCGCCGCCCCGCCCCCACTCCGCGCACTGGTGGGGAAGGGGCTGGGGCAGGAGTTCCGGGGGTGCAGGCTCGTGGTCTGGGGGCGAGCGCGGCTCCGGGCTGTGCGTGTGCTAGAGGGAGAGTTGGTGAGTGCGCGCGCGCGCGCGCGCGCGGGTGTGTGTCGCTCTCCGTCTCCCGTCTGGGCTCCAGCGCGCTCGCGGGGCCCCCCGGTCTCCTCTTTCCCGGTTCTCAGCCCGGGCCCCCACCGAGTTGAGACAGGGCACCTCGTAAAAAGGTGCTTCTGGCCGAGCGGGAGGCGGGGGGACAGGCGGCGGAAAGCCCCCAGCCTCGAGTTCTTCTCAATAAAATCGGACAAAAAATTCAGAGAAAAATAGGAGCGCTTGAGAGACGAGCGAGAAGGAACTGAGGTTCGGGAGAGGACCGAGAGAAATGTGCCGTCGTACAGGGGATGGGGTTTGGGGAGCCTCGAAACCTCGGAGGGGCACATAGTGGTGGCGTCAAGGGGGTGCCGAAAGTGGGGGGCCGCGGGACTAGGTGGGGAGGGGGCTCGAAAGGAGAGTGCGGCTCTGGGGACTGCAGAGGGCGAGAGGTCTTGAGCACGAGGCGCGGTAAGGGATGAGGTCCGATCAAGCGAGGAGAGGCAGGATTTGGGGGTCCCTGATAAAGGGGGTAACAGGAAGGTCAGTGAAGAGGGGGGACGGGGCTCTCTAAAGATGGGGGGTGGGGGAACTCTGGAGAGCAGCTCGGAGAGCCCAGGGTACTTCCCAAAGAGCAAGCGAGCCTTGGGGACCCTCGGAGCCGCACAGGGGTCGCCCTCGGGCTGCGGCTCCGAGGGCAAGGGGTGAGTCGGAGCTGTGGGGGGAGGGGAGCGGCGGTCGGAGTTGAGGGTCTGGTGCGTGGAAGTGAGCATGCGGGCACGGGAGCCCCCGGCGGGCGCCGCCCGGCGGGCTCGGCCTCCCTCCGGGCGCCGTCCCGGCCTGAGCGGGGAGAGGCGGGGGGAGGGGGACAGCGCGGAGTGCTTACCCGAGAGGGTCTCGATGGCGCGGATGGCCCAGTTCTGGTCGGGGTAGTCCACGAAGGCGTAGCCGGACTTGAGCAGGACCTGTCCCGCCAGGGGCAGCTTCCTGTCCCCGAAGAGCTGCCGGAGGTCGTCGGCGGTGACGGCGGGGCTCAGGTTCCCGATGTAAAGCTTGTTCATCATCCGCGTCTTCCCCGAGAGCCCGCGGCTCCCCCGGCCCGGTACCCGGCGCTCCTCGCCTCCGCCGCTGCCCTCGTCTCTCCTCCTCCTCCGCCCCCCCTCCCCGCCCTCCGCCCGCCCGCCACCCACCCCCACCCTCAGCCTGGCTCCCCCCACCGCGGCCGCCCGGCCCGCCCGGGGGCAGAGGCACAGGCGGAGGCGGGGACTCAGCGCGGCTCCCTCCTCGGGGCAGAGTCCCGGGCCGGGCGGCGGTGCGCGGACAAAGCGCTCTCTCTGCCTCCCTCTCTCTCCCTCTCAAGGCGGTGGCGGGAGGAGGAGCAGCGGCGGGCGGCGGCAGCGCACCCCGCTCGTGTCTGTGTGAGAGTTTGTACCGGCGTGTGCGCAGCTGAGAGTGAGCGAGCGAGCGCCCCCTCCCCGCCCCGCGCTGTGCGCCCCTGGCCTCGCGCTGCGAGCGCTCCGCGCGCCTCCCCGGGCTCCTGCCCTGCGCCGGGCGGGCGGAAGCGGGTCGCGGCCCGGGACCGGGGCTCCCGAGCGCCAGCTCCCCGGCGGGCGCGGCGGGGAAGGCGCGCCCGGGGCGCGGGTGGGAGTGCGCGAGGGGGCGCGGGGGAGCGGCTGGGAGCCACTGGCGTGGGAGGGAGACGGGCTGCGAGAGAGCGTGGAAAGGGGTGTGCGCAAGGTGGACCGGATGTGAGAGCGCGGCCGCCAGGGCCAGCGGGAAGGTGTGTCTCGGAGGTGAGAGGCGAGGACGGGCTGGGAGACAACAACTTTCTCGCGGCGAGTTAGTCGGGTCTGGCGCCCTGCGCGTTCCCGGGCGGAGCGCCTGTTCCGAGACCCGCTCCCCGCCCAGCTCTCCCGAGCCACTCAGCGGCGCGGGTGGTCGAGGGATCGCAGACGGGAGTCGGGACGCTCGGGGCCCGGGACTGGTCGGGCCCGCGCGTACTCTGCACCCCGCCGAGGTTCTCCGGTCCTGGGCCTCAGTTTCCCGGCCCGTGTAGGGAGACGGAAGGCCAGAGCAGAGTCACATCCCCTCCGCCCGCACCCGGTGCGCCGAGAACTCCGCGGCGGGCTGCAGCCTGACGTGAGCCGCTGCTCTCTATTCTGGGAAGCGCCTGAGGCTTCCCGAGCGGCCGCGGTGGAGCCAGGTGGCGGTGGGGTGCGGACAGGGGCTGCGCCCCGGAGAACGGGCGCTCGCTGCAAGGCTGGGTTCGGTCCCAAAGCCAGCGCGTCAGGAGGCAAGGGTGGCTGGAAGCCGAGGCGCTCCGGCTGTGTAGAAGTTCCCGGAGCGTTGGGAAGGGCCCGCAGAGGAAAGAGGTCCTTGCTAGCGGAGGAAACAACGTGACCGACGGAAGAGGCTGGGTTGGGACGAGAGCTGCCCGAGCTGAGGGGAGAGGGAAGGAGCCAGACAGTCTGGGGACCGTTTGCGAGTTCCGGGGCTCGGCTGGAAGTCTGCTGGTTAGAGCCTAGTCCCAGCCAGGAAATGAAATACTACAGGAAAGATTGGCAGGATTCAGAGGTGAAGGGGGCAGAGGAAGATTCCCACATCTGGACTTGGTGGGGGGAGCTTAGGAGAGAGAGAGTTTGACGGGAGACATGGGGGGAGCGTCTGTTAGTGGAGAAGCCACAAATGTAGTGATGGAACAGGTTCGAGTCTCCTGGCTGGGTTGAGAAGTACTCCCTTTCCCAGGCTTTCTTGAAGAAGGGGTGGAGGGAGCACTTTTTGTTTTGTTTTGTTTTTGTAAGGTTTTTGTGTGTCTGTTTTGAAAGAAAGAAAGAAAGCGAGAGAAAAACACACTCCCCATCTCTTCAAGACCGACCCTGTGAGCCTGGATTTTATTGTCCACAAATACCCACAGGTGATTCTCGTGAGGAAACACGGGCAGGTGCACGGCCCACCGGCTTAGGGCTCGGGTCGTCCTCCCTTCTGCCCCCAGCTGTGTGGCCTGGAATGTTCTAGCATTTCTGAGCCTAAGTATCTTTATCTACAAACACAGGGTAAAAACCAAACCCTGGCGGGATTGTCGTAAGGGTTACCCGAAGGATAACTGAACAGTGTTTTGAGACACAATGGACACACGCTTAGTGCTTGGTCTTTGTTTTGTTCGTTTTCCTTCCCCCAGAAACTCATGAGCTTTAAAGTAGTTTGGCCCGGGGGGGGGGGGGGGGAGACTCCTTAAATAATTACGTATCCGGACAAGAAAACATTGTATTTATTCTCACCTAGATATTTGCAGTTGCTTGAATTCTGGGTTTGGTCTCCAACATTCACATACTTACTCGTTCCAGAAAAGGAATTGGATTTTACTGTTCCTGAAGTGGGGAATGGCCATTGCTCCCCAAACTGATAGATAAACTAGGTATTATGCTTTCCTACCAAAACATAGGGGAGAATCACAAATGAAAATTACTATGTGTGCATAAATTTCACTATGCTGGGAGGTAACTATCATAATAGTTCTTACACAAACACCCTACTTGGAATGGTCACCTTTATGTTTGCTCATTTTATTTCCACTAATTCAGAGTTTTAAAAGAAACAGTGGTGGGGATCATTGATCTCTTTCTTCTCTGAAAGGTTGGTAGAACTGTGTTCGTTGTAAAATGTTTTCAGATATGTCAGTTTCTTGGTTCTGCTGCAAGGCCACAGACAGCATGGGTTCTCTGGTGAACAGCAAGCACCTCAGGTTTCTTGGCAGCGGTGGCCTCTGGTGAACCCTTCTACCCTGTTTCACCAGGCTACTTTCAAACGTTTTCCCTAAGAAATAACTGCTCTTTGCTGTAAGTTGTGTATTTTGCCCTGCTGGTGGTGTGCGGACTGTGGTGCTGCAGAAGGGTTTGAACGGTGAAGGTGATGGGTGACAAGTTTCCCCAAGTTTCCGCTGTGTAGCAGCAGCCACACGGTTCCTTCTCCTAGAACAGAGAAGAGGGTAGGGACAACCTTCAAAATCAAAGCCAGAAATCAAGAGGTCATTCCCCCTGCCAGATGAAACTTTATTTTTCTACCTGCTTTCTCTTGCATTCCCCTAACTCTGATCTCTGTTCCAAAGATGAAATGGAGATTTGATCCAGACCGAATTTAAACCTAATGAACCAAGATTTTATAAATGTTCAACAGAGGTCAGGTTTTGCAGAAAATCTTGTAGTAGGCATATTACTTTTTAAAGCGTATATTAACTGACCTTTTCCTCCAGAGTTTCAAAGGTAGTAGGTTCCTCTTGGTTTCCCAATGATTCTTCTCAGCAGAATGGTGGAAAGGTAGCTGGGGAGAGATTTGTTAATGTCACTTTGCAGGTAGGAAGACTAAGACTGAGGCCTAGGAAAGTAGAACAGTTTTCTCATGGTTATACAGAGGGCTTGAAATATGACCAGCAAACACATTTTAGGTAACCAAAAGCCGATGAAATAGTAAGGCTTCATCTTGGACTTTCATGACCAAGACATTTCTGTCTGGCCAGAGCAACTCCCGAGAACATAACCTCTCGAATCTGCAAAATCATGGTGGAAATGTCTTTGTTGAACTAATGCTAGCGGTCATTATGGCCAGTCTTTCTAGGTAATATAAGGTACGGTAAGGAAAATGAAGCTTATTTGCAGAGCTGTTCAGGAAAAAACAGTATTTTTTTTAATTTATTTATCTTTAGAGGGGAAGGGAAGGAGATAGGGAAATATCAATGTGTGGTTGCCTCTCGTGTGTCCCCTGCTGGGAACTGGCCTGCAACCTAGGCATATGCCCTGACTGGGAATCGAACCGCGATACTCTGGTTCGCAGGCTCGCGCTCAATCCACTGAGCTACACCAGCCAGAGCTGGAAAAACAGTATTGAGTGTTGTCAGCTGCTACCTGCTCACTGCAAATGATTCAGTGGTAGGGTTACCTCCTTGCCACCTTTTCTTGAGTTGGCAAAAGAGAAATTGACTTTAGCTGAGTTTATTCAGCTCTCTGAGCTTCAGAGTCCTCGTTTGCAAAAGCCCAGCCAACTTACTCACTGTGAACCCCATCCCGTAGGAGGGGGGACATGACCCTGGCTGCCAGATGCACACAGCACCCCGGCGTGACCTGCCACCTCTGCTTCTCCGCAGGAGCCAGCTACCCTTCCTGTGTCTGCTATTCAGTAAACAGTATCTGTGCCCCTAACGCAAAAGCACTTTACGTGTTTTCCAAATACTGGGCCATCTCAGAGCTCTGCCCTATTACACGTGCTGCTCCCTTTCCCTTGACTGTGTTTCTTCCCCTGATAAACTCCTGCCTCCTCCTCTGATTTGGCCCCAGGATACACACAGCCCTTTACTTGTACAGATAAAAAATATTTTGCCTAGTGGTGAAGGTTGCATGACTTTGTGAATATACTCAAAACTACTGAAGTGTACATTTACATGGATGAATTTTATTTACATGGATGAATTAAATGTTGATTTTTAGAAACTATGAGAAAAGAAAGTCTTCCCTACTATATGGTAAATTTCTGGAGAAATAGGGTCTTATCTTTTTTATCCTTTGGCCAGTATCAAACCTGGCATAATAATAGGGGCTCAGGTAGTAGTTGTTGATTAAACAATGATCATGTGAGGTTTGCTATAAGGACTAAACAAAGCTGTTATATGATGGTACCTATTTTGCACAATGCTTGACATGCAGCAGGAGGAAATTTTTACTTTTCTCACCTGTTGAATTCATTCATTTATTCCTGGTGTTTTGTAATGTTAGGCACTGAGGTTACAGAAGTGGATAAATATGATCCTGCTCTCAATGAGTTTATGATCAGTGGGGGAGGCAGATGAATGAACAATTATAGCTTTAGAGGTGCCACAGTAGACTGTGAACAGAGGAGAGGCCACCTCATTCAATCTAAGGTCAGGGAGGGGATCCTGGAAGAAATGATGCTGGAAGTGGGTTTTGAAGGATAAATCAGGGTTTGCTCAGATAGGAGAGGAAAATACATCCTAGGCAGAAAGAACAGCACATGCAAAGATACTGTGGCATCAAATAGCATAGGCTTCATAATCAAATCAAATCCAATCCAAATGTGGGTTCAGAAATAAAAGTTTGAGAAAAAGGGAACTAAGAAAATAATGCAAAAAATTTCAGAATTAAAAAATGGATCTCCAGATTGAGGTGGTTTATTGAAGTTCCAGAACAAAAGATCCAGAGCAAAAGCATATCATGATGAAATTTAGAATTCAATCAAATTATAAAAGCACCTAGGAGAAAATAGGTCACATAAAAATGATTTGGAAAGCGAATGGGAATGTATTTTTCTAAAACATAAAGGAATCTGGGAGGTAGTAGAGCAATGCCTTCAAAACTGAATGGAAATTATTTTCAAGCTAGAATTCTAAACCTGGCTAGACCATCAGTTAAGAAGATGAGAAGGGCCCTGTCCCCGTGGAACAGCCTTCTCCTCCTGTCACCTGTTATTCTTTTGAGTCACTGAAACTAAAGGTTCCAGAGCAAGGGTTTGTGGATCCCTGGGTAAGTCACAGGCCTCTGCTGGCCAGTGTCTTTTGCACCATTTCTTACTCTGTACCATACAGCCCATTTCAAACCTCCAATCCTTTGCCTTTCCCCCCCCCATTATTCACAATATGTTTATTTATTTGCTCAACCCTGGAATATGTGTATTTTTAGAATAACTAACCCATGCCTCTGTAAAAAGCAAATATACTGGAGAACAACAGCAACAACAAAAGATGAAGGGTTTAAACATTTCCCCATTTCAGGGAAACTACTGGAGGATAAATGCCAGCAGAGCTGGGGACGAGGAAGACGTGAGGTGAGGTCCAGGATGCCAGCAGGGCCTCCATCCAGAGAGCAACCAGCACAGATTAGAAAAGAACAGCTGGCTTGGAAAGGGACAACTTCAAGAAACAAAAAGGGGAGGGGAACACACATACATGCATAGTAATTATTTCTGAGAGAATGGCAGGCATCTTGGAAATTGGGAGGGAAATCACAGGTATAGGAAAAACTAGGCAAATGGAAAAACAAAGAAATCATTAACTCTAGGAAAAACACTCTAGGTCGTATAAGAAAGTAGCAATGGTCATAAATGCAGCCATAAAAATACTCGAACAGTTATAACGTAAACATGTGTTATACAACCTGCATAAAGAGAACTTCAATCAACCAGAAAAAAAAAATCATTGGAAAAATGGGGGGAAATGAATGGGCTAATTCACCGAAGATGAAACTCGTGGACAGCAAGCTTCGCTCATGAGGAATTGGGGAAATTAGAATCATTTACAGATCAGCAAAAAAACATTTAAAATTCTGTTAATACAAAGGAATTGGTGAAGAAGGTGTGGAGCATCAGAAACAGCCATCCGCTGCTGGTGAGAGTACGCAGGTACCATTACTCTGAGGAGTGACTTGTCAATATCAAGTAAAATTGAAGATAGAGGCCCTTAGCGCTCCCTGGCCATCATTCTCACTTCTTGTGGATGACCTTCTCTCATCATGCCATCTCTCCTCACACCCTTCTATTGCTCGTCATCCATCTGAGAGGCCAGCTCATAACCTTGCCTTACAAGGTTCACCGAGAAAACAGAAGCAATCAGAAGAGCACTTCAACAAATCCCAACTTTATCTGGCCACGTACCTGCATCTGTACCCATAGACTCTGCCTTGTTTCCTGTGATGTCGGGTGATCCCATACAGGAAAAAAAAATGATGGCTTCAGAGAAAATGAAGGAACACATACCCCCTGTGACCTGGCAGTTTCCCCTCTGAAGAAATTCTACATTTGTACAAGGAAACAGACAAGGTTCGTGGTGGCACTAGGATAGCGAAAAGTGGAACCTTAATGTCCATCAGCAAGAGAATAAGTAAAAATAAATTGTGTAATAGTCACAAATTGAATATACATCAGGTCAGAGTATGCACATTATTCATGTTCTCTAGAGTCATCACTTCTTCCCTTCTGCATGAAATAGGCTACATATGTCAGTGTTAAAAACCAACACATCATTATGAATGACAAGTTACATTGTAGAAGGATGTGTTACAATACCATTTGTATAAAGTCTGAAAACATGCAAAACAATTGTGTGGCTGATACGGACATATTTGTGTGGTATAAATGCGTAAAGACATGCATGGGAATCACAAACCTCAGATCTGAGATCATGGTCATCATGGGAAAGCCCCAAATTTCAGGTCATGGTCACCTCCAGGATGAGAGAGAAGGGAATGGGAGTTGGAGAGGCACACCTGGATTTTTCATTCTAACTACTTGTTTTTGTTTTTAAAGCTGGGTGGTAGGTGTTAACTGTTGTTTTTTCCCCCTTCTCAGTAGCAGCATTTTTATTACTGTATCTGGCAGGGGATGATTCTAAATGAGATTGAGTATCATAACCACCAAAAGAACTTTAAAAATACAAATTTCTCAAGGACTACCTGTAGGACTCCTGAACCCCAAACTTCAGAGCTAGAACCCAAGAATCTGAACTTTTTAAAAGAAAAACAAAGTATTTTAAAGTTCATATTTGTGTGTACATACTTATATTTATGCATATATATTTATATATAATATATAAGTATATTTACACTTAAGTGTAAATATATAATATATAGATTACATATAACTATGTCTTATACATAACATATTTTGTATAGAATATATACCTATAAAATGTTAGACTTATAGGAAGGTTGCAAAAATAGTATAAAGAAGTCCTTTATAATGTTTACCCAGACCCCCTAACTGATGACATTTTGCCATATTTGTTTTATCCATTTCACTGCTTCTTTCATCAGTTTAAAAGTAAACTGAAGACAGGATGCCCTTTATGCCTAAGTACTTCAGTTAATGTGTGGTAAAAAAGAGAGAGAGAACTTTATATAATCCCAGTATAATGATCAAAACTAGGAAATAAACATAAACGCTACTACCTAATCTGCAAACTTACTCAGATTTCACCAATTGTGTCAGTGTCATAGCAAAAGGAAACCCCAAATCAGTTTTTGGCTTTTGTTTGGTCTCTACTCCCCTTTAGTCCAGACAGTTCCTTAGCTGGTCTTGTTTTCACGGCATTGACATTGCTGATGAAAGCACAATACGTATTTGGTAGAATGCCCCTCAGTTTGAGTTTGTTTGATGTTTTCTCCTGATTAGATTTAGGTTACAGATTTTCCAGTAGGAATACCACAGAAGTGAGATTGTGCAGTGTATTCGGAGGCACCAACGCTGATTTGTCCTGTTACCAACTCTGGTGATACTAACTTGGCTCACTTGCTAACGGGTGGTGTGTGCCAGGGTTTTCTCTATTACAAAGTTACTAAGTATCTCTCAGAGAGCTACTTTGAAATTATGTAAACACTGTTACTCCTCAAAATTTCAATCATTAGTTTTAGTATCTACTGTTGACTCTTGCAGAGATTATTATTGTTATGTTTGCCAAATGGTGGTTCTAATGTTGCTATTCCTTTCATATTAGTTTGCTTTCTACTGTAAGGAAGAGCTTCTCCTTCTCCTTCATTTATTATACCAATGTGGATTAATGAATTCTTATTCGATTCAAAATGTTACAAACTTTTATGATCATTAAGAGCTGGGAAATAGATTATGTCTGTAAATATATGAAGATTAATACCTGTCTGTACTTATCTATTACTACATTCAAAATCACAAGTTCGCACTAACACTCGACTGCAGTGAAACACTGGGAGTTCATTCTTTCCTCCTTCCCACCGTCATGTTTGCAGCTTCCCTCCAACACTGAGAGACCCGGCTCCCATCATCCCCAGTATATGGACTTACTTGCTCAATCCCAGAATACACAGAATTGCTAACCTATGCTTCTGCAAAAACAGAAGACTCTCAACCAGACTTCTTACTATTACCTAATATTAGTTTTGAGTTCTTTTGTATTTAGCCTGAGGCACATGATCCAAATATACTGTTCAAAAGTTATTTGAGTTCTACTTCCCCCTTTAGTGTCGGTCATGTTATTCACTTGAAATTTGATTAGTTCATGTTTGCTTTTTAAATTTTAGTTTTTCT